AATACCCGCAGGACATTCCCGCCCGCTCTGCACTCCAACAGCTGTATAGACCATACACCAGCTGTATGGTCCTTCCCAGGGCTAGGTGTGATCTAAGACTGAGAGACTCAAACAGTAGAGGGTCTCTGCATAAAGCAAGTAAAACGAAAATAAAGAATCATGGAAAAATCAGTGAAATATCATGTGTAGCAGTCCAAAAGATAATTTAGTACATAGAAGTAACTTCATCTTTCAGTAAGTGTCAACATCAAATTTGGTAAGAGACTCTGTAGCATTAGCAGGAAAAAAAATCTGAGGCAGACATAACACAAAATAAAACCCAAACCCATCTGCTTCTTTAATCATAGGCTTTAAAAATGTTTCTGCTAGTTACCCAGCTATTTCAAGAGCTGTACTGTTTAAATCTGTATTCAAACAAACACAGAAGTCACAATAAATCTGTCATTGAGTTATTCAGGTCTACGGCTTTAAATGATTAAAAATGATAAAATTCAAGAAGGCATTAAATGGAAACATTCTCTCTCCACAGCCTCTAGCACTGAAGATTAAAGCTCTAATCCAGTCTGAATGGCATCCCCAAGATTAAGAATGAAAAAATGTTCTTTTACTGCCAGAGTCTCGGTTTGGAGCATCCATGGCCGAAGCTTGAAAGTCGTCTAAGGATCGACCCCCCTCGTAAAGCAGAACCTCAACCGTGGCTACACTTGTGGTGCGGAGACACCGTTTGAGGAAGATGTTGTGGAGACGACGATGCAGGAAAATGACTGGGTGTCTACTTAGCTCGCACCAGCCACGGTGGGATTAGTGGGGCAAAGCAGCCTCCACGCTGCACAGCGCTGGAGCCCTGGGGTCTGTCTTGAGGAACGTGGCAAAGTTCAGATATAAAGGAAAGCCTGCATTTTATTAGGACTCACATCTGTTCCGAGAGTGGCCAGGGACCTGTAACCAAGCGGGCAGGAGATCCTCCACAGGCCTCGCACTGTACCCAGCCGTGAATGATTACTAGAGGAATATAATAAGCCCAAACCAGAAGTTACAAGAAATTTGGAAAAATCAAAAGCGTAAGCAAAAGCACAAGTAATGTGGAATGCTACCGAATTAGGACAAAATAAATCAGCCTTCTACCATTTAGGAAGCAAACATTAAAACTGAAAAAAACACAACAAACCACCAATTTAGTAATGACTCCCTACCCTAGAAACACTGATTAAGTGTATTATTAGTAAGCATAGATTAACCCAAGTGCCTCAGTAAGGCAGAAGAAGTCCTTCCCCATGTCCCTTTCCAGACAGCCATGCTCTTCCTCAGCAGCGTCCATCCCAGGGGAGAGCAGGGAGCCCTGCTCCCGCGGGAGCACCGGATGCCCCAGCCAGAGCCGGAGCCCCGCGGGACCTCGCGGCCCCACACCTTTATTCTGTCACGAAGGGAACCGAAGCCGTGGAGGGCGAGCGGGTTGTGAAAGGCAATGGCATCTCTGGCTCCGAAGCTGGGCAAGTCCCAAGTTCCCTGCCGCGCACCCAACTGCGAAAGCACACTTTCGTATTTCATACCACACGTAACATCAGGCTGGGTGACACCGAGGTTAAAAGTAATTTTGGCTGCTGTAGACCAGCACATAGATTACAGGAGGAATTTTATTATCAGAGTTCACTATAGAAGGGCTGCTTTGCAGTCAGGACGCAATAGACAGATCGCAGAGGAAAGCCAATGCCATTCTGCGCCGGCTGCTGCCGGCTGTTGGCACACCCACGTGCAGAGCGCGGCCGTACCTGGCTACTGCCACGTCCGCATGGGCTACCGGGCAGAGCTCCCTCTGCACGTGGCCCACCACATGTAAATCACCTTATCAGCAGCGCTACTTCTCAGTCGAAAGCAGCCACTGAACTTTTCAACAGTCAATATTTTAAGGAGTTCTCAAACAGCACTCGGAGTAAGCAGACAACCATTTTAAATATAGAGAGACTGGAATGGAAGCCCAAGAGCGCTGGATGCCAGCGGTGATCTGGATTATTTGCTTGTTACTAAATACCCTGCAGCGTTACTTCCCCGGCTGTTCAGCTGAAGTCTGACGCAAACAGCGGCAGAACAACAAACAAGACTTTGCAGGATTTTGTAAGCACAGAAATCATTTGAGGCACAAGGAACAAAATGGTTGAGGGCTGCTGATGCTCAGGATCGCATCTTTGGAAGAACGAGGACAGTCTACTGCTTAATTACGTGTAGAACCCCACTGAAGGCTTGACAAGCACTTCCAAATCTCAGCAGCAGAAAAGCAACATAAGTATAAATAAAGGAAAGTCGACCTGCGAGAGCAGATTTAGTTCAAGGATGCCTTTCCCTCTGTCAATACCCAGAAACAATCTGCACCACAGCATGTCACTGAATTCCTCGGGACCCAAATGACCGTTCTGTGTTTTGCAGCTTACACGCCGGTAGGGCAGGGGATGAAAGTCCACCTGTGGAAAGACCAGCTAGCTCTGACTACTGCAGAGTTTAGAAGGGGACAGGAAAAAATAGCAAAAATAGCTCCAGAGCAGCACTGGTTCCACATGGAAGAAAAACTCTCTAGGAGGAAGTCTCCCCCTTGTAAAAAAGGCATCAAAACCTGTTTGTAAACTACCCCCTCCAGGCATTAAACCAGGCCAGAGCGACAACTCCGCAAGGCTTTAAAACCTGTGTACCAGGCAGGCTTGAAGAAACTTCCACAGCACAGAAAAAGCAACTGCAAGGTGACAGGAGCAGCAAGGAGGCCAAGGCAGACAGACGCAGCTGCGGGCAGCGGACTCGGGCTGTCCTGCTGCCTGGGGCCGCAGTGCAGCAGCGAGCAGCACAGAGCTGCCCCGGTCCCCAGCCGGGCTCCAGAACCTCGTGTCCAGCCCACGGCTCCACCAGACCGGCTGTGCTCGAGGAACAGGCTAGCTGCGACGCGCTACTCACGCTGTGATCATGCCACCAACAGCAGCGTGGGCAAAGTCTTCTATAAATAGCGGAGACTATCTATAGCACCTCTTACTTAATTACAATTAAATACAACTGTGGGAACGTTAACTGACCATGACTGGGAACTCCTAATCAGAACAAAGTGTTCAGCATTGTGCCAGTTTCCAGTTATCAGACCTCATGTGACGGCAGCACATGTGGCATGCTCCGTCCTGGCCTCTTCAGCAGGGGTAAACATCACCCCTTCCAGCCGAAGTTCTTGCTGGATACATTTTAAAATGCCACCTTTCAGCCAAGGACCACAGAGAGAAGAAAAGGTCATTTTAAAAGATGTTCAACATCCTCATTTCTTATTTGCTTTTTCGTTAAATAAGGGTGTTCCACTTTACTTGGCAAGCACCTCAGCATGAAACAGTGGCCCCTCTATCTGGCTTGTAATTTAAGCCTCCTCGATAATCTGTTTTTAAAGACAATGCAGTTGCTAGGCCCCAGCCAAAGGGGTACACGCTTAACTGTCCTATTTTTTCTTGCAGGGATGGGCATGGCTGGCGTTGTGGGATGGAAACCATCTTCCACCTGCTGGGAACAGCCCACGAAACCCTGCCCGCGCCACAGGCCGCTCTCCCACGGTGGGACTCCTGCTGCTTGCCCAGGGAGAGCCCCGCTTCACACTCCGTGTCTTAACCTTCTAGCAGTAGACTTCACTTGGCGCGCTCCTTGCAAAGCACTTGTACTGCCTTTAATCATCTCCATTGCTTCTGCTCTGCCCGCCCGCCCAGCGGCACCCTCCCACGCTCCGCGGACGGAGCCCGGCACAGCAGCGGGGTTTTCACCAATGCAGCCGGCAGTGCCTGTGCAGCGTCGCTGCCCCGCACAGCCACACGTCCCAGGCAGCGCGCGCGGGATTTAGGCTCGGAGCACAAAATGTTCCCTTTCTACCATTACAGGCCTCTTAAGTACTGTTGAGATTCACTGATGTTCTTACAAACAAACACACACATCCACCCCACAATCCCCATGCCCCCCCCAACCTAACTTCATTTGCACAAGATGTCTTTAAGCTGAATTTCATTTCCAGTTTCAAGGCACTTCCCACCCACTGCTCATCCAGCCTCGGAAGGAGCCACACCACTTCCAACCAGTCCCTCGCCTCAGCGAGAGCGCAGCCAGCCACCTCCCCCTCCCTCCAGCCCCACACGTGGAACGCGATGTGGCCAGGCGAGTGCTCACACTGCTGCCCGAGGACACCCGCCGTGTCCCACCTCCCCGGGTGACAGACCCCTGCCCTGGGAAGGGGCAGCTCTGTGGCTCAGGCAAATCGCAGCTGTGCCACCTGCCAGAGGAGCAGGGCAGGAGGGATGGAAAAATTTGAAGGAGCTAAGACATTGTCGTGGAAAAAGCTGTAGGAGTGTGCCAGAAGATGTAGCTTTATCCTATGAGTAATTAGCTCCCTCAGGAGTGGTTCCGACAGGAGGAACGGGAAGAGAAATACACATTGCTGTTAGGGCTCGCTGCAACAGAGGCACGATCCGCACATTTTGGAACGTCCCTTAGGAGTTACCTGGTGCTGCTCCTGGCATCTCCTCGTGGAAGCACCCCAGACAGGCTCCTGGCTGAGGGACCCGTACGATTACCTTCGCTCCAGATCACCAGCGACACGAAGGTGCTCGCAGCAGCTTTTCCTCTTTTACACTATTCTCTCGAAAAGGCTGATAAAACAGTCATGCTCACTTCCATGCTCCACAAGCCAATTGTATTTTCAACAAAACCGGTTACTGACGCTACCACACACTCACGGTCTCACAGCCACACTGTTACACACGACGTCCTCCAGCACAGGCCGCGGGCGCTGGGGCAGAAGCGTCCTTCTGGGCCTCCTTCCAGGGCGCTGCGTCCCCAGCAGCTGTGGCAGCGCTTCCAGGGCAGACTGCGGGACGGCTTCGCGCGCCTCCGTGAGCGCCTGGCACGAGGGAGCGCAGGCGACCAGGCCTGCCTCGGCCGCACAGCCAGCCACGACTTCACCTTCCATCGGACGAAACGGCAAAAACCAACAGTCACTGTTGCTGGCCATGTTTTTATTTGTTTTTCATTTTAAAGAGGGGAGCCAATGATACATCCAGTATTTCAAAAAATCAGAAAGTGAAACAAATTTTCAGAAGACAGAGATGCTACATGCTATATTTAACCTAATTTTATTCATGCTTGCTTTTGGGGGGTTTTGGGAGCGGGACAGGAATAATTCGGTAAAAACATACAGTAAAAACAAAATGTCTCACCATATAGAACTTTAACCTACAGTAATGTTGTACCTTAGTTATTTCCATGCACACAACTAACGTTACAAAATTTTTTAAAAATGAACACAGTTAAGACTTCTAGGAGCATTTGATAATAAAGCAATTCCTAATTTCTTTTGTAGAGATCAAGCACCTCCAATTACAAATTCCTATACACAGTGAGTGCTTTATTTGAAATGAAAACTAAAAAATAAAAATAAAAAAATGTATTGGATAGCCTCAGAATAAGCCGATGTTAATATATATCCAGCTATGTAGGCAATAAAACCATAGTGCTAAACAAAAACTTTTATCTGAAAAGTAACTCAAAAATTAAGTTGACTTTCTATAATTACAGAAATATACTTATTTGCTAAAATAAATAAAAGTGCTGCATATTAACACTTCACTATAAAGAATGCATACCAGAACATTTATAAATATTGAATGATTTTCAATAAGAATAGCTACTACAATAATGCTGGCTAAATAGAAGTGCATAATGAGAAGCACTATGGGTGGTTAATGTTTTGCCACATACTGCTGTTACCTTGAGGTAGATAACACATGCGTACCAAATTCGGCATTCAGTTCAGTTGCTGCTGGTATCATGTGTCTAAGAAATGTGTACAGTATGAAAAACTCTAAAATACGCATGAATGAAAAAAATGTTTTGGGAAAAATAGATATTTTCATGCAATTATGTACAGTCTCACTGTGTAAATTTCAAGGCAAGGTTCTTTTTCTGCAAAACATGGACACTGTTTTACTGAGAGAATGTTTTTTTTCCTTGGTTTAGTGCATTTTTTTTGTTACCTCCTGCATTTTGCATTATTTTGCTCTATTCTTTAATTTTGTGTGCAAACGACATGCCAGTCTAAAAACAAAACTAACTCATGTATAGAAAGTAATTCTGGATTGTAAAAACAATGGTAAACAGAAAACTAATGAAATCCATACCAAAATTACACCGTCTGATTCAAGTAAAAAAATTACTTACACTAGTAATAAAAAAAGACAAATACATCTCATGAATATAAAAGAAATGTCTGCTGAGTGTTTTAATTTAGATGTTTCAGAATGCTGCTGTACGTTTTGTGGGGAATCTGGGGAGACGATTTCATAGCAGAAGGCGTTAGCGTGGCCTGTATCGATTTCAGAGGCGAACCCACGGGGCTGTGAAACTGAGGAATACCTATAGCCTCAAGCTGCTTGTTGAAGAGGAGTTCTCCACTGTTACTGAGAAAGCCCTCTTCTCTTTCCTTCTCCCCAGGCTTCCCCTCTTCTACTGGCTCAGGTTCTAGCATTTCAGCATCTTCTTTCTTACTAAAAAACTTGTCCAAGTAACTGGTGTAAGTATTTTCTTTTTCACCTTGTTCATCTTTCCTCACTTCGCAACAAAACTGGTCTATGAGGAAGCACTCCTCCCCGCTGCTTACAAACTGACTGTCCCAAGAAGTTTGGTACAGAGCTTCTAACTGTGCCAAATTCGCCATTCCTTTCTCCTGCTTCTCTCTGCTTACCGACTTCGATATGAATCCTTTCAACTCTATCTGAGACACTGAGCTGTTCAAGTCATTTAATTTATCAACATCAGTAGACTCGTGTTGTAAACTAAGCTGAATGGTTTCTGCTATAAATGAATCAAAGTCAAATCCTTGATTCTTCTCCCTTTCTTTTTCAACCAGTTGCTGTGATGCTTCCTCGAGTGCTATCTGAGCTTTCACCAACCCATTCTTTTCACATTTAGACTTGCCTTTCTTGTCAGACTTTTCTTTACTCTGTTCCTTCCAGTTAGAAAGATCTATAATGAGCTTGGGCTCATAGTAATGGTTAACTTCACTGTCTCGCCAAACTAAATTATCTAGGTATGATGATGACCTCATTTTGTAATTACAAGTGTGACTACATTCCAGATCACAATACTTGTTTTCATGGTGATCTGAATACTGCCAGCAAGGCTCAGTAGAGAAGTGGGTGTCAAAGGCAGGATCCTCCAGATACTTTTCACGATCTCCATCCAAATATTTGCGAGGATCTACTTGCACTTCTTCCTCATCAGTAACATCAGAAAGAGCCCTTGGATCACGCTGAACTTCATCAGCTTCATAGTTATTATGAATAGGCCAGTCATGGTCTGAAAACTGACTTTCATGGTATCTGTAAAACAATTTCCTAAGCGTTAGCAGCTAAAAAACAGTCTTCTAGCTCCCAAGACAGAGACAGTTATGTTTAGAAACTCCCTTACAGAATAATGACAATTCAACACAGATAAAGTTTTTCTTCAATCCAACTGGGTACCTCTTCCAGGCTTTTAATTTAATTTGGCATAAAGCAATCCTCACATGCACATCCAGAAGATTTAAGTCCAGAATTATGTACAACAGCTCACTCCATTTACAGAACTCTTCCTTAAAGTGTGTTTAACTGACTTTAAATGACTACTGTAAATCTCTTTAGTATTATATGTGCTAAGCATTGGACAAGACAATCATGTTTAACAAAACCTCTCCGTTTAAAGCTTATTTGTTAGAGAAATATTTTTTTGGGGAAAAAAGTTATGGAGAGATTAACTCTAGATTCTATAGTCTTAAATGCATCTCAGGAATGCACCAGCATATCCAAGTCAGTCTAATGAATTATAAACCCAATGATAATGCGCTGCCTATGAGGGAAAAGTTTATTCTCAAGTCAACTTAAGAAGAAGAAGAAACAAACAGAAAAGGAAATGATGCCCATAAAGCAACATTACTTCAAGCACACAATCATTCAGTTATGTGCCACAGTAAGTGATAAATTTACCTTTCCCAATTATAAATATGGCTGTGACTTTCATCCATCAGCAGAATATCATCAACCTCGTCTTCAATGTGAAAAGGATGACTTGAAATAGGCTCATCCGTTGGAAAGGAATAAATGCTCATATACGGATGGGACAAAGCTTCTTCTGCTGTCAATCGATCCATGGGACTAAATGTCAAAATTTGCTCCAGAAAGTCCAGCGCTGTGGAGAAAGAGTTATCATGAAACAGAAGAGACATCCAGAATTTAAGATTAAGGTGCAGTGCTTTGCCCTAGAGGTGTGTATTTGCTTACAAGTAGCCACCTATGCAATGCCAGCGACTGACAGTATACTGTCAAATATGCATTCTGCAGCCACAGGAAAGCTAGAAGAGTTAGAGGTCAAATCTAAGATCAACAATATTTTAACTTAAAACAGGAAAAAATACTAAGAGACTGATTGCTTCAAGCTGTATCAGTATCCACCAACAGCTATCAGGAAATGCTGCTGTTAGTTTGGTTGGGGGACTTTCTTTTGAAAACTTCTGAAGAGTTGTTTTATACTGACTCCATTCCAGTATTCCCTTATATTTAGAAGGCCAGTGTCTCAAAACAGAGCAATCCCAGCGCAAACAGGTCACGCAGAGATTCACAGTTCTACCCCAGAGGTGACCAAGTAGCTATCATGTAAGCAAAATTTTCTTTTTTAATTACAGAAGACAACCCTTCTTCAGAGAACACACAAATTCCAACTGAAACTTGCTTTTAACAATCACTAACACACACATGCACTGTGAAGTTGTTCACTATTTTATGATTTTGAAATACAGGAAGTATTTTTTCCTGAATTCCTTACCTTCAGGACTGATGCCTGGAAGCAACTGAGTTAAAGGTTTGTGTGGCTCAGTCATGTCATTTCTAATGTAAACTGGAATTACGTTGAGAAGCTCCTGACGGTCCTCCTCATGGACAACAGGAATTGATTCTAGAATCAACTGCATCTGTTCAAGTTCATGCGCACCTAAGCACCAAGAGAAAATACAAGCTGCCATTTCAATTTCAAACAATTCTGATCCCCGTATATGAAAGGCATGTCAAAATTTTGTGCTCTGAGCAGCTATTTTCAGTAGAAGACTATTACCTCCTACAACAGAGGAGAGGCTGAAGTTTTAAATTTGAATGATAATAAATCTGAAGAGCTCTCAGAAATGCTGTAGCGTATGAAGAATTACAGAGCTGCTACACACAGATAAAGTGACCTAACCTTAAGCTTTTGCAAGGATGTTTTCACCATGGATGAGGTACTCTACAGCAACACGCCATCTTTTTGTTATATACTGTATACTGCAATCCTCTCCTTTCAACTGATCCCAGCTAATTAATTCAATATTTGACCTCACTTGGAATGATATGTCCCTTACTAATAAAAACAGTAGCGGTTTAGCTCAGCAAGAGATCTTACAGGCCACAGCCATTTGTACTAATACGCTATGCTGAAACCCTGTATTACTGTCAGGTGCAAAGCAAAAATCACCTGCCAGTTAAGCAGCCTAATCTTGGTTTGGTTTTGTTTTTTTTTTTAAAGTACTGTATTATGATTGAAATTATAGTACACTTTTAGCACTAGCTGAAGTTTTCCGAACTATGAGTGTCTACACCGCAGATCAATTTGGAATAATGAACAGCATCTATATTCATTACCAGCATTGCTGGAGTCCCCAGAAATACAGCTTGTCTACCTCAATTTATTGTTCATCTCCAAGCAGCACTTAGCACCCTAGAGATTCAACTAGCAGATGAAACTATACAGGGTTATTTGCATGGCAGTGTTTCCCTCCTTCACCAAGCAGCTCTGGGCAATCATCAGTGATACTGATGCATGTGACATTAAATACAAAATAAATGGGGCCAGAAAGAGATTGTACCATCTCAAAATTTATGCGCTATCAGTTCACTTCAGCAGTCTGCATGGCAGTCTGCGCTGGATATCCCACCACGCATCTGCCAGATGACTTAAAGAAAAGCTAAGCAAAGTCACTACAGAAAATCTGACTGAGACGTACGCTCCCCAAATGAATCAGTACATTCTCACATTAACTTATTTGCGGGATTGAAAGAGCTGTTTTGTCCTCCTGCTTCAGACTACTACAAATTACTTCACATCTAATCTATCAGATGTTATGCTGTCTGTAATTTGCTGGAAAACAGATTCTACTGTATCATTATTTCCATCCTAAAAATTAATCAGCTTTCTTTCTACTGTAAGTAAAATGAGCATTTAAAAATATTCATTTAAAAAGAAAGAATTACAGAAGTTGTTTGGAACAGTTATTGAATTCCTCTGCCTCAAATTCCCTTCCCTCCCTCATCCCAGGTATTCTGTAACTTTAATCTGTATTCTTCCTCCCTATTCCCATCAGCTTTCCAGACAGCAAGACTCCTAAGGAATGGTTCAGAAGTAGACAGCAAGTTAGAAATTAACCACATCAAGCCCTCCAAACAACTTTCCACAAGAATTTTGTTCAGAGGCTCAGGACAGGCTGTCATATCTCCAACCATCTTCCTTTTCCCAATGTATGACGCCAAGAAATCCACTCTTAGATCAGAAAACTACGGCAGTGCTAAATTATCAGAGGGATAATCTACATCACATCTAAAAATATTATTCTACAAATACACACAATGCAATTAGAGTACATAAACGAGCCTACAAACTTAGGATTTTGGTTACTGAGTTGTAAGGAAAAAAAAAAATCTAACTCACTACACTGATGTTAGACCAATAAAAACTTTTGGCAAATACCAATGCTACTCAAAAACAAAAAAAGAGCCAGAATGCTAGCAGTTGCAATCAATCTATGCTGCATGCTGAAATCTACAGACTTTCTCACACTATTCCACTACTTTCCAGTAGAAGTGCTTGACGCAAGGGAAACCTAATAAATCTCTTATCAGCTATGCATTTTAATACACTGGGAGCATTACTCCAACAGTTAGTAACACAGAGTTAGCAACTTGCTGCAAGTTAAGAGAAGCCTCTTCGCATACTACTCACTGATTTCTATAGAATAATGATTTCCAGGTGACAGTACTCCATTAATAGTATTTAATGGGAAAAAGCTCTCAATTTCATTACCTTGATGTACAAAGCTAAGTCTTACTGCAGAGGTGTGCTTTTAGTCCATGTGTATCTGAAGGAATGTGAACTTTGAAATACAAGCTCAGTTCTTCAAGGTTTTATCTGTATTACCTCAGTAATTTAGACCAACAGGAGCAAATCCAAGAGCCAGCTTTAATGAGACAGCTGCAGCTGAGGCCCCAGGGTGTACACAAAATAAGCATTTCAAGGGTTTGCTCCAGACTAGCTCATCTGCTCCAAGGACTGAATGCCTGTCAGCAGGTGGAACACACTGGGTGATTTCCTACAGTGCAAATGGCAGTTTCATTTTATCTAAAAATACCCCAGTTTGTGCACTGAGCTAAATCAGCAATGGCGTACAGGCTGGCCATCAAGAGATTTGCCTCAAAAATTTGCTCCCAATCCTAACCAAAGCACAAAAGTAGATGCACCCAATAAGATCAGAGCATTGCTTCCTATCTTACCAGAAACATTTGAGGTTATGCATTTCCTTGGTGTGCCACACTGAATTTTAAATCTTAAGAGTCCTCCCTATACGACTGAAATAAAGCTCAGGTCAAGAGTCCGCAGATGACAAAAATTGGGAATGGGGAAAAAAGGGCTACTCTTTCATAATTCAAAATACAAAGAAGAGAGAGAAGTGATTTGGTTGACTACATTAAAAAAAAAACCTTTATATGATACTCAGGGCATTCACAATCCTCATATACTCCCTGGATACATCAATTCACTAAAATGCATGTATTTAGAACACTTCTTAGGCATCCAATAAACTTAGTTTAACCTAATTACAGGGAGATTTACCATATATGTGAGTACTAAATTAAACTGTGATATTTATCTAAATACACATCGGTATGAGTAACAAAAATTGAAACACCTTCCACTTTACAAATACATCAATCTATAGTTTGCTTATATAATTGCATAATAATACAGCATACCCTCATAGACAATGACTATTGATATTAGCCATGAGAATCACGCTTTCTTTAAGAAGGTAATTAAGCAGTACCAATCCTATTAGGAATATAGACACATATTTTTATTCTACCCACCTGCAAAGAGGGTTTTCCCAGTCAGCATTTCAGCAAAGATGCAACCTGCAGCCCACATGTCAATGGCTTTAGTGTAGTTGTTAGGAGAAAGCAAAAGACGGGGCGATCTGTACCATTTAGTAACCAATCCTTCAGAAAGATGGCCCTAACGAAATCAAATTTCCAAAAAGAAAAAAAGCTTACTTAGATTTTTAAGAGATACGGTTTTTTAATTACTCATTTCTTATTTTTTAATGCACTACCACAAGATCTTTTGGTCTCAAGGTCCTAGGGAGAGTACCATGTGCCCCCTACTAAGCCTTTCTACCTTTTGAAATGGAACAGCTGTATCATTATGAGCGAACAGCAACAATACAGAAGTCTGACACTATTTATTACCCAAATGAGGTACTGTAGCAAAACCTTATTCTCAGATGCCAAATAAATGCAGAGAATAAAATGCACAATCTCTTGTGAAACATCATCTAAACCAGGAAGACAGCATCTCTAAATCAACCCCAAGAAGCAGTCACACTTGCACACTATGCATGCGTGACTTACAAACTCAGCTAAGGCTTCTATAGTTATGCCTCTAAATGTTGCTCTTAATGTCAGGTTCTGTATTCACCGTTAAAAATCTGCTTTTCCAAACATATCTGGTAAAAAAAAATAATTTATACTTGCAGTAGCCCCGAGACAAAACGTGTTGTCCAGGGATCTGTTTTACTCTATTTGCAAGCATTCCATTTCTACTGTACAATCCCTAACATGATATCCCACCAGCTAACAAGGCTTTCCACAGACTATCTACCTCCGCAGAAGGGAGACAGGTGCAATTTTCAGAAGGCACGGCTGTCAGCATGTCACTTAAATACTCTCACTCTTCACATACCTTGTGCGAATAATGAGGATCCATGATTCGTGCAAGACCAAAGTCGCCAATCTTCAGCACCAAGTCTTCAGTATTAATGAAAAGATTAGCTGGTTTGAGATCTCTATGCAGAACATTTGCAGAGTGAATATACTTGAGCCCACGTAGCAGCTGGTACATGAAAAGTCTGGCATGATCTTCCAGTAAAGGGCCTTGCTCTAGCAGATTAGCCAGATCTGTCTCCATGTATTCCTGGACAATGTAAACACAGTTCAATTCTGTAAGGGAGCCCACGTCATCTGTTAACTGGCTTCCACTAGGACCAAGAATTTCAAATACTTTGACAATGTTATCGTGGTCAAGTCTTCTAATAATTTTGATCTCACGTAGAGCATGTTTAACACTCTGGGGATCTGTAAGGACAATTTTCTTGACAGCCACTCTTTTGTCACAGTCATTATCGACAGCAGAAAAAACTAAGCCATTTCCACCACAGCCCAGTGGTTTTAAGTCCATATACCGAGAGCCCAGATCAAAACCATGAATGTTCATGAGACTTTCAAATTTTTCTGCCATTTTTGATTTCTTTACGTTTCTTTTTCCTCAAACTACTAAGCTTCTGTAAACACACGGAGACACTTCCACTGGTATCTGAAGGAAAGGTCTTACAGAAAGGGAGAAAAAACACTTGGCTTTGACTGCAAGATGGTTTCTTGACACTCTCATTTCATTATGAGCCAGCCAGGCCTGTTGTGTCCCCTTGAATTTAGAGCCCGTAAGCTCTAGAACTCAAACTGAGCATAAGATAGAAAGATTGCAGCATTCATAGTTCAAGAAAGGTGCAGCATTTCTGCAGACATTAAAGAAAATACTCACAAGAAACTCAAACGGAATGAAATGACATACTATGCACTCAGCTCTACTGTGCTAAACTGGTTAACATTTAACAAAAATGTGAATAAATATGCACATAATAGGTTTCTATTAACATCCTCCTCCTCACAGTGCAGATACATTCAGTGTTGGACTGGTCCTGAGCAGCGTCATTCTATGGTGCTGGTAAGCACTATTTTTATTTTCCGTCTTCCTCCTTTTTCCTCTCCTTTGCTTACAGTCTAGTTAAACGGGAAACTGGCAGCTCTTGATTTACAAAAGATGCCTTCTGTTAATGATCAGGTGGCTCCAGCTCACCACAATCACAATCAAAGCTACCATCCATTTTACTCCGTGACAACCTGAAAAGGAGAGAAAAAATACATCAGTATTTCAGCACATACAGAAGTCTTCCTCCTCCTTCCCCTACTCCTTACATTGTCAGAAATACACAGCTTATTTAGTGTCCACTTACAAAATAAGAAACCATCACAAAAGCTAACCTACCTAGAAATTACACAGACTTGTGGAGGAAAACTGACTAATCACCAACCACCATTTCTAAACATATATTGTGAAAGTTTTAGATATAATCTATTGAGAATACAAGGTACACAAGGAAAAATCCTACCGAGTCTTAATAAAGAAGGGAGTATCACAGAAAGCTTGCTAAATCTCCAATATAGCTGTTAAGAGAAGTCAGCAACAATAGCAGCCTGCACCTCAGTCTCTAGATTTTTGACTAATTCTTTCCACTAATCTTTTATTCCAAGACAAAAATCAGGGTTTTAACTATGTCCTCATAATGAGAGATAACCGAGTGCTGTTCACATGAAAAGGGCAAGGGTTTGTGCGCTCCCAGTATTTACTGACTTTCCAGAATATACAGCATATATCCAATGCCACTTACAAAGCTTAAATCCGTGTGATTTTGGATAAAGATTACTAACATCTCAAATTGTGATTTTGCCTCTATAGATTCATTGTTACAGGAATCACAGGGGCAATACCTGCATATTAGACAAAAATATTCTTACTTTATCAATTAATTCTACACTTACCCAACCTGGATTACAGAGAAAAACTAACACTGAGTACATTTTACACAGTAACGGATATGTTCTGTAACTGTTTTCCCTAACATATGGGCACTTTCAGACATCATTTATTTTTTATTAGTCTAACGAATGCAACTACTATTTATGAAAACAGAAGTGGTAATTTTCTCAGTAAGTTTCCCTGTCCGCAGCAGGGGAATGCAGTCATAAAGACCGCATGTTGCATTTTTGCACAACATCCTCATTTCTTTTAAAAGCTCAAAGATGCCACAAAGTGAAGCGTCAAAGGTGTACCTCACAGAGCGTGGTAAGGCTTGGGCAATTCCACTGCAAGTCACTTATGTGTTATTCCCCAACAACTATAGGTCACATCAAACCACTAAATGTCTTCTCTTTGATTTAGATTAACACATTTCAGCTCTTCACTCAGTTCTCCAAATAAATGTAAAGTTCTCCAAACTATCCCAACACTTTATAACTAATTGTACAAGTGTTTTCCCTTAAAACTGTGCCAGCATTTCAGTGAGACAACTGTGACTAAGGAAAACAAGTCTCCCCACTCCCAACTGAGCAGCAAAAGCAGCTGACAAATTAACATATTCTAAATAATGGCCTCAATTCATTAAAGTAATCAGAATTGCATGCAGGAAAGAAAAAAAGTAAAGGCGGGCACACTGGCAAACAGCAACAAGACTGTTTCCACACATTTAAATATTACCATTCCCGAGGCCCAAGCCCGACTGCCACCAAGCAACCGCAGCCCCCATGCCCCGGCCCGCTCCCTCCTGTCACACAGCACCTGCCTCCGGGTACTTGCACAGCCACGTGGCGAACACAGCACAGAAGACGGAAACACATGCTGTCCTCTACTGGGTTTTTCTTTTTAAATAAAGATCACCAAAGATAGCACTTCCCACCTGGAAAGCGCTGAGCTGCCCTCCACTGATGTGGTGTATCACCCTGCCAGAAGGGTGAGCTTCAGCGCTGGCTTTCCTCAGCATGTCCAACCATTGCCTTGGGATTCCTGTTTCCACATACTGCCAAGAGCCCTTATTTCAGACAGTGTTTTACAAGAGTTATTATAACCTTAGTATAAACATCATGAGGTAACATCGTTACTTTTCCCCAAACTTTCTTGAATTTATATCTGTATTAAGACATCACAGTGAGGACCCTTCTCATAATACCCATGAATTTACTTAGAACAAATATAAAATTTATCCTAGACTTAATTAGGACAGCATCAGTGCCTATCTAACTCTCCTCTCACAAATTATAAATCCCAGAAGTCTAGCCTCTTGATTTTTAACTTTTTTGAAACCTAAACATATTTTCTCACTCACATGCCCTACTTTCAGGCTCACTCATTCTGAGCTGCTGCCTGTAAAAAGGTTACATCACCCCAGACCATTTTCCTTTCATTCCCCTCCCCCCCCAAACTGGTACAGAAATTCATTTTTGTAGCTTATACTCACACTTTAAATTCCATGTTAACTCAAGGTCCAAGGCCTCTGTTCAAATAACTAAGCTGTATTTTATATCCTTGGGACCATCTAAAAGCAATTGTATTCCTCCCCATAATTAGGCCCATTGTTTCACATAGCTGATGTCTTCTATGTGCAGCCACACCGAATCGGTTTGCACCAGCTGGGTGACACATCTGGAACATCTCTTTTAGCTAATTCCATTAAACAGCACAGGACCAGATTTGAAAAGATGCCTGTAAGCAGCAAGGAGTAAGATTTGCCGATCTCTTCACCATAACCCAGACCGCACCCCTTACTGCCACGACTAAACGAAGGCAGCAGCAGTACTAAAACACGAGAGCAGTTGTGATATTACTGCTTCAAGCAAAAAGGGAGTTACAGCCCACTTGCTCTCTGAAGTAGGAATCGTAAAATTTTCAGTCTGTATCCCTGAAATGATGCATTTTTAATCGTCAGCTTACACTACATCCTTCCACTAGGTGACCCATAATCGCAACACTTTCAGCAGGTATGTAGTGATTTTCAGAATCAGAGTGATTTATCCTAGAAAACAGATGTTTACAACACAAGCAACCCACTGCAGCCTTCAATTTGACCCGATCCTGCTACAAACTTCCTCTGTATCTATGAGCAAATGACTTGATCCCAAAGCCACAAAAAGCAGGGCCCAGCTATCATTGAAAACAAGATCTCGTGCTAGGAAGCTGCCCAGGAGGCAGCATATCTACCAGACAGACAGTACCTCACATGAGCATGGTGCGGGCAACGAAAGACTCTCCCAGTAAAAACGCCCCACTATTAAATCAAATGAAATAAAGACTCAGTAATTGAGAGTGGTCTTTTGTTTACTGCCACTGAAAACTCTACTTTGGAAATAGAACAGGTGACAATGCTGTAGCAGGTTCATTGTTTTGGTTTCAGCTGCCGCCAGCAACAAAAGCACCACGCGGCCGCCCCTCCCCCCGCCGGCGTGCGGAGGAGAATGAAAAGAAAGAGGCAGAAACCGGTGGGTCAGGATAAGGGCAGTTTAACAGAACAGCAAACAGAGGGAACAGGAACAACAACGATACAAATAAGGAGAAAACAGGACACAAACTCACACAACAGACCCTCTCTCCCGAACAGGACCAGCGCCGCACACTCCCCAGCCGTGAGCGAGTCCCCACCG